ATACATTCCTCATAAATAAAAAAAAAGCCAAGAATCTGAATTCTTAGAAAGTTTTAAGTCCTGGTTTCTTGGGGGAGGTGAAAATGGGAACAGGGGGACCTGTGGCCCTGGGGTTTCTGATAACAGCACCAGTGGCATCTGACATGAACCTGTTGGGGACAGGGCTGTCCCTCAACCTTTGGAAAGGAGCAGTTTCAAAGAACCTCCCTTTGTGGATAAGTTAGCGTCTGGGTGGGGTGGGGTTCATCAGGCACCTTTTGATTAACTTCCCCAGCAGGGCCCTTCCCCAGCAGAGCCCACTATTTATTTAGTTATTTAGAGACGGAGTCTCGCTCTGTCGTCCAGACTGGAGTGCAGTGGCAGGATCTCGGCTCACTGCAAACTCTGCCTCCTGGGTTCATGCCATTCTCCTGCCTCAGCCTCCTGAGTAGCTGGGACTACAGGCGCCCGCCCCCACGCCCAGCTAAAAATTTTTTTGTATTTTTAGTAGAGACGGGGTTTCCCTGTTAGCCAGGATGGTCTCGATCTCCTGACCTCATGATCTGCCCAGCTCGGCCTCCCAAAGTGCTGGGATTACAGGCGTGAGCCACTGCACCCAGTCAGAGCCCACTATTAAATATCGTGTCCCACGGGACTTGAGATGCAAGATTTCAAGACCCAGAGCAGGAAAACCCCTTGAGAGAGAATCACCTGTTAACATAATTCCAGCTCTCCTTCAGGGGTGTTTTCTACCTCCAAACCCCACTACTCCCAGCTGTTTGACTTCCAGGAATGTCCATATTTGGAGTAAAGTTGCAGCCAGGACCAGGACAGGCTTGGCTGTAGTTTTAGGAGATAGACCATTTTGTTTTTACATCATAGATGACATCCAAATTATCACTCCATCTTGAATTTCAGAGAGAATGTACCTTTTTTCACATGTAACTTACATCAGAATTTCTAGAAGACTCATCCTGGACCTTTTAAAAATACCATACCAGAGGATCTAAAGTACCTAACAGGCTAAATCCCAATGAAACCTGCCTCATCCATTACACAGAAGGAACAACTGAGGCTAGAAGGGCCAGTGACATGTTGTTTGTGGGCATATTTCTTGAGGACCAGAACGTCACACCACCACAGGGGTTCTTCATCGTCTACTGAGATTACATTGCTGGGTGAGCTGAACAGTTGGTTTTTTGTTTTGTTTTGTTTAAGACGAAGTTTCGCCTTCATTGCCCAGGCTGGAGTGCAATGGTGTGATCTTGGCTCACTGCAACCTCTGCCTGGGTTAAAGCAATTCTGCCTCAGCCTGCCAAGTAGCTGGGATTACAGGCATGTGCCGCCACCACACACAGCTAATGTTTTGTAAACCATGTTGGCCAGGCCAGTCTCAAACTCCTGACCTCAGGTAATCCACCTGCCTCAGCCTCCCAAAGTGCTGGGATTACAGGCGTGAGCCACTGCACCTGGCCAACAGTTTTAAATTGAAGGACAGTGAAGGCCGTTGTCTCCGCCCACTATGATGTACCAGGAACCTCGAGTGCCTCTGTCCTCTCTGTTCTCAGACTGCTCCTGTTCCACATGGAGGGAAATGTAGTGCCAGATCTTTTAGAAAGTGGACAGTTTCCTTAAAGCCTGAGGCAAGTGCCCAGCCACTTTGTCTCCAGAGGGAACAACACTGTCCTCCCACAGCGCTCCCTGAGTGGGCTGGGAAGTAGGGCTGCCCTGTGGGAGCGCAAGAGGGAGTTTCTTCAGCTCATTTCAGTTGCTGTCCACCCTGCATTTCATTGAGGGGATTCACAATTTCATACTGTTTCCAGGATGTAGGCCCAGGTCTGCAGGTCTGGTCTTATGCAACCTGCAGCCTTAACTTCCCAGAGCACAGGGGCTGTGAGAGGAAACCCCAGCCATCCCTACCTCCAGGAGAGTGGTCCTCGCCTTCATCCAGTCCTTTACAAAGGACTCCCGGAGGCCTTTTCTGGACTCTGCCTCCTCCAGGCCCAGTCGTTTGGCCATTTCTTTTACATCTGATGAGTGAATTTGTAAAGCAACAAATCACAGTGATTCAGCAGACTGTCACCACTCACCTTTTCTTTGGATTCTTGTATTTAACCTCTCATGAGTCCAGTTTCTCTAGCATTCTCCCTTTTTCCTGTATTGGCCAACACTGGCCCCCGCGGGCTCTCTCCCAACCCCCAAATAGAGTGACAAGACAAATTTGGAAACAACTTTCTTTACGAGAATCTTGAGTTCCTAATGAGTCTGACCTGGAGTGGGCTAGACCAGTGCCAATACTCCAGGAGTGCAGATGGGGGAGATGAATGGCAGTGTGGGGCAGATGGGGGCATCGAGGGTGGCTGAGTGAGTGTCCTAATAATTCCTAGACCTATGGTCCCTTAGGAACCGCGTGGCCATCACACTGACCGTCTCGACCTGTTGGGATGAATACTAAAAGGTGGCTGTTCTCTGTCTAGTCAAGGTCGGTGAATGGGAGTCTGGCCAGCACTGGTTGGGCCGGGAGGGATGCTATGACACCTGCCTGACTCTGCCCAGAAACAGAGGAGGACAACTGGAACCGGGGGTCTACTCTGGCTTGGAGAGTGATTCAGAGAAGGCCCTGAATGCCCCTCACTTTCCTCCCGAGGAGCTCTTCTGCCTGCCTCAGCGGCTACAGCAAGAGTATGAACTTTGGGGTTCAGGCCTGGCACTTGGGGTTCAGGCCCAGCACTACTCACTAGCTGTCACTTGGTCTCTCTGAGCCGCATTTCTGTTATGTAGGTGGAGGCCCCTTCCCACAGGATTGTGAGGAATAAAGACAGCACACGCTGAGGACCTGGCGCAGAGCAGACCCTTAGTAATGGGAGCTAATACTGGGATACAAACAGCCCAGGGTCTCCAAACCACCCAAAGAGCCCTCCCTGAGGGGGAAATGGTCTTGCTCTTCCCCTGCCATAGCCTTCCTCAGCAGAACACACCACCTGGGGGCTGCTGTGTCTTGTTTGCTTTTAAATTTTCAGTAACTTGGTACCAGCTGTTACAGTATTTCTACCTCACTGCCAGGAAGCTGCCTTCCTCCCACTCCAACGCCACCTGTCAAAAGCAGAGAGCCTGTGCGCGCCTTCTTTTTAGACAAAAATAGTTCTCAGATCACCTGCGGCCTTGCCAGCTCTGATGGAGATCATCTCAACCTGTTTCCTCACTTCCCCTCCCAAACCCTTGCTCCAGGTCTCCATCCAGTCTCTGCCTCCTCCGGATCTGGAGCTTCCTCCAGCCCTTGCCCAGCTTGGGCACCTGATTCTCTGCAGAGATAGCCCCACCACGGGAAGGAGGCATAGGGGCTTCCCTGACATCAAGAGAAGAGGACACAGGATCCAAGAGTGGAAGAGACTGTGGTTCCCCAAAGCTTCCCAGTGCACTTGAGGGTTCACACTCTGTCCCACCACATGGTAACACCCTGCCTGGGCAGTGGAGCCTCCACCTCTGCCCTCACCTCTTCCTTATTGTGATGGTCCCCAAAGGGCTGCATACAGAGATGGAGAGAATGACACTGCCCAGGTAACCCTCTCATATACACTGACCCCTTTCTTCCTTGCCGAAGACCTCAGCTAGCTCTGCCTTCTTCATTTTGTAGATGCAGCACGGCTGGCTCTTATAAGAGGTCAAACAGTAGACAACCTCTAGGCCTCTGTTTCCTTGTGTGTTAACCGGGTCATGGAGAGGAGCTGGATAAGCTGCTCTCTGCCATCCCCTCTAGCACCATTTGGTGACTTAACTTGGACAACAGCCACATATGGGAAATATTAAAAGTAAGCACGGCCACAGCAGCAGCTGCTGGGGCCTCCGGCTAGCCCAGGCCCTGGGAGAACCGAGAGGGAGGGCCTCAGGCCGGCATCCTACCCTTCAGAGGGAGGCTCCTGTCCTGTTGCTGCTTCTGGTTCCAAGACGCCTTCCCCAGGACCATGAGTTTGAGGAGCGTTCAGGCATAATACAGGCAGCTCCCAATCTGCTCTAGAAGAGGGGAAGTTTCCGTAGTGCAGAGACACTCTCCTTGCTACCAAGAAAAGGTGTCCGTGAGCCCCTCCTGACAGACGAGGAGATGCGCTGAGGCGTCTCCTGCAGCCACTGGCTTCCTGTCCCAGTGATGTGCTGCCACAGCCAGTAGAGGACTGGAGCCTGAGGGCCCTGAGCACACACCTGTGTCAGGAGGCGCTGCACAGCCAGTCCAGGACTAGAGCCCAGGGTCCCTGAGCACACACCTGCCCCAGAAGGGAGGTAGGGGCAGAGCAAGGGTTCAGCCCAGGAGTGGAATGAAACTGCTGAGGGGGCTCCAGAGAGAAGCCCGCCCACCTGCTAGACTCCCTCTGGTGTTCCTGTAATGTTCCTCCCAGCTCCCCCAGCTCTTCCTGATAAGGGAGACTTGGTTTCCTCAGGGAAGAGATGGGGGAAGAGTGGGCCTGGGAGGGAGGCTGGCATGACAGTCGGGACCCCATTCTCACCAGCTCCAGTTGCCTCCCGGACTCAACATTCATGAAGCATCTACTCTGTGCCAGGTACAGCACTAGGCTTTTTCACAAGCACTGCCTCGTCTTCACAGCAACCCCAGGAAGAAGGCGTTACCACCCACATTTTATAGGCCAGGAAACTGAGCTCTAGCAAGGTGAAGGGACTTGCTCGAGCTGGCTCACATGAGTTATTAGCAGGGCTGGGACTTGAATCCAGACTCTGGGGTCACTGCCCCATGCTCTATTCCTGTGCTGTGTCTCCTCCCTCCTCTGCCCTGCCTAGAGAAGCAGAAGTCCCAGCTGGGCTCTAGGGACAAAATGACTTAGGTCAGGTCCCTCAGGTGCATTTGGCAGGCTGACTCCTCTGTAACCCACCATCTGCTGGCCCAGCATTGAGCCCAGGCTGGGAACACAAGCAAGCAGGAGATCCCTTAAGAGGTCTGTTCCCTGGGCTACCCAGCCAGGTGGCCTCCAGCCAGCCTCTGGGAGCAGAGTCAGGGTATAGCTTCCGGGGACAGGAAGCCAAGGCTATGCTTTCTGAGGTGTCGCTGGCAGCAGCAGCCCTGTCCTTCCCGAGTCCTGCTTCAAAGCTGCTCAGGTTTGGTTGGGAGGGGGAAGAGGAAGAGTAACAGCCAGAAGGATGGAGCCACAAGCAGAACAGACTGGAGCAGCACGGATGTAGCAGAGTTCCAGCTATTCACCTCAGTTCTGCTGTGGGCAAAGAGGCTGGGCTGGCTTAAAGCTAACATCCTTAGTTCACTTCCTTCGAGTAACCAGTCAGTTCAAAGTGGGGAAAAAACAGGGCACTCGACAGATGGATCTCAGGGCAGGGAGGAAGAGTCAGAGACCCACCTGGGCTTGAATCACCGTGTGGGTCAGTTTCTTCATCTGCAACATGGCTCATGTTGGAATCCATGGCTGTACAAAGTTCTTCCAGTTCCAAAAGCCCATGAACTTAGACTTCTCACAGAGTTCAAGTATTTGGACCTGAGACTCCAAGCAGGTCACCCAAAGATTCAGAACTTAGAAGCTCCCCTAATACTCAGCCTTGCCCACCACACCTTGAGCCTGAAAAAGGAAGGAAGGAGAGGGAAGTCCAGAGGGCGCAGAATTCTTCAGTGGGGAAAGAGGATCTGGGGCAGGTATCTGGACCCCTTAGAAGCAAGGGGCTGTGGGACTGATCTGGAAGCCTCCCCCAGGGGTCTGTGACAGTGGGGCCAGGCTAAACCTACTGGGCAGCAACAGCTGACCACTATGGGGCCCACCCAGTCCAGCTGCTGTCCACTCAAGTAGTGGCAGGTTTCAGGTCACACCCAGGCCTCTCTCCTCTTCCCCTCCCTTCAGAGCTACCATTGTGTCAGGCCAGCCTGGTGCGGTCTGAGCTCCTGCCCTTCCACGCCTTGTCCTATACTCCTCTTCTCCCATGACTTGGAGGCAGCAGACGATCCTGTCCCCTTCCTGGCCCCTTGCCCATCACTCTCTCCTCAAGGTAGATGGCTCTGCTATCCCTGTCTTCCACTTCTCAGCAGCCTTGCTCCCTCATCAACACTATTGCCTGGGCTGGTACAAGAGGAGGAGAGCAGCCAAAACAGAAAGCAGCTGGTCCAGCCTCCAGGTTGGAGCTGCTGTGTGTGGATGGAGGTGTGAGGGAGGAGGGGCTCCAGATGAAGCAAAAGGATAGATCTGTGGGGGCGGCACCCCTCTTCTTGATAGCTCACTTGTCCGTCCTCCACCCAACACTACTGTGCAGCAGAGGGTGGCGGGGTGAAGGAGCATGGAGAAGAGGAAGGGCCTCACTTGGAGCTGGGGGCTGAGTGGTCTGAGTGGAGGAAGGTGGTGGTGGTGTAGTTCTGGAAGAGAGGCTGCAGGAACATGCCAATGGTGCCAAAGACACAAACAAAGACAAAGATCCAGAGGAAGAGGCGGTCGATCACCATGGCGACGTACTTCCAGTCCTCACTCACCTGGATGGAGGAGACGGAGGAGGCCCAGGTCACGTGATGCAGGATGGGAGGCAAACATGTATAAACGGGTCCCACCACGCAGACACACACCCCACTCCTCTCCTGCCGTGATCCCAGAATGACCTTGCTGAAGCATGGCTCTGATCTTAGTAAAAGCCTCCAGTGGCCCCACTGCCTTCAGGGCCCATGCAAACTCCCAAGTCTGGAATCAAGACCCACCCATGACAAATATGAGCCTATCTCCTCCTTCTCCCCCGCATAACATAGCCCTACCAAACCCCAGTGTGTCCTCCCAGGTCTCTGTGTCTTTGGGTTTCGTTTATGTCTGGAAATCCTGAGCTCCCTTTCTCTACCTGGTATCCTCCTACATATCCTTCAAAGCCCAAATCAAACATCACCTTCTCTGAAGGCTGCCTCGACCCCCAGATCAGCATGAACTATTGGCTGCTCTGGGTTCCCTCTGCACTGTGTACATGTCTCCATCACAGTATATTTACTGTACTGTATTGTTTCAATTTGCATGCCTGTCCCCCTACTAAGCCACAAGTCCCCAAACAACAAGGACCCTGATTCATCTTTGTCATCTCAGCATCTGGAACAGAGTGTTGAGTAAATGGCTGATGCTTTAGTGAGTAAATGGCTGCTTCAGCCGGCCTGGCTCCTTTTACGATCACACATTGAGCCCCATCCAACCACACCACAGTCCCCAGAGGGTGAGGACCAGGTCCCAGATGTGAACAAATCAGTCAAAAAGATAATCCTGTCTGTGAGTTTGAGAGCCAGTCACAAGGCTTGCACAAAGGGCCAGCGTCTCCTCAGAGCTGCTCCATTCCTGCCTGAGTCTGGGCCTTTGTGCACGTGTTCATCTGGAGCCCGGCCAGCTCGGGGTGGGGAGACAGCCACTGAACATCTTTATTTAGTCAGCAGCTGAAGAACTCATTCGAGTGGCAACTGTGCCTGTTACATACCTGGCACCATGCTACACACTGGGGATGCGAATGAACAACAGAAACGCATCCAGTGGTTTCCAGTCTACTGAGGGAGGCGGAGCAAAAATAAGCACAAATTTAAAAATTCCACACTGGCAAACAAAGGACTGAGATGAAGAAGAGGAGGAGGTATCATTTAGAGTGTGGTCTGGGAATGCCTTTTTGAGGAGGTGAGATTTAAACCAAGGTCTGATGAGTGAGAGAGAACCAGCTGCATGAGGAAAAAGTTGAATAAAGAAACAATCAGACAAACCCAAACGGAGGGACATTCAGCCCGCCTGGACCCTTTAAAAACGTTTATGCCATGAAAGACAAAGGTGAGGAACTGTTCCAGATTCAAGGAAACTAGAGACACAACAACTAAATGTAATTTGAGACCCTGGATTAGGACAAGGGTGGGGGGTGATGCTACAAAGGACATCACTGGGACAATTGGGAAAATTTAAATGTGGAATTTATATGAGATAAAGATATCAATGCTAAATTTCCAGAAGTTGATGACCGAACCTGGGTTATGCAAGAGAGTGTCCCTGTTCTTAGGAGAGACACACTGAATTATTTGGGATAAAGGGTCACAGTGTCTACAATTTACTCTCAAATAGTAGAGTGAAAGTTAATAATTGTAATAATTTTTTAAAAGAAAAAAACAGGGCATCTCAGGCAGAGGGACCGATGCATGCAAAGGTCCTGAGACCACAAAAGAGCTTGGTTTGCTTAAGACAAGATAAGCCAGGCCGGGCGCAGTGGCTCATGCCTGTAATCCCTCCACTTTGGGAGGCTGAGGCAGGTGGATCACCTGAGGTCAGGGGTTCGAGACCAGCCTGACCAACATGGTAAAACCCATCTCTACTAAAAATACAAAAAAAATTAGCTGGGCGTGGTGGCGGGAACCTGTAATCCCAGCTACTCTGGAGGCTGAGGCAGGAGAATCGCTTGAACCCAGGAGGCAGAGGTCGCAGTGAGCCGAGGTCATACCATTGCACTCCAGCCTGGGCAATAAAAGCGAAACGTCATATCAATTAAATAAATAAACAAACAAAAGATAAGTCAGTGACCAGTGACCTGGGCAAGGAGGGAAAGGCATGAGCTGAGAGGGCGACATTGTTTGGATGCAGGAGCACAGGAACTAAAACAGGGAGACTATTAGGAGACTCTTGCCCTAGACCAGGCAAGAGCTGATGATGCTGAAAAGTGGATGAAGCTGAGAATTACTTTGGGGTTGTGACAGGACAAGACTTCTGATGACTTGGACAGAGAGGGAGGTGAGAAAGGACAGGGTCAAGGATCACTCCGAGTTTTCGATCTGAGCCATTGAGTGAATGGTGATGCCGTGTACTAAAAACTGGTGGAGGAGCAAGTTGGTGGTTAGGATGTAGACCAAATACTCGGTTTTGAGCATGTTGAGTTTGAGGTGCCTGTGAAGCATCCAAGTAGGTCACCGCATCCTCAGCACCTAGCTCAATAAATGCACAATACATGCGTGACTGCAGCAGGAGAGGTGGAGGCGGTGACCGCAGCCTGCTGAGTCCCTGAATCCCAGCATCTCCACTTGGCCTCAGCTGGCTCTAAGGTTCCCACCCCATCTCCTCTAGTGTTTGCCTCCCTCTTCTTCCATCAAGATTGTAAGATGTTCCCTGGCCCAAGCTTCAGCTCCAACCCATCTCCTGCTGTCCAGGGAAACAGATCTCTGAGGCCCACACCGCAATGCCCTTCCTCATCCCCCAGCCGAAATGGCAGCTGTCCCAGAGGAAACCTGGCCAGTCACCATGGCAACAGCTGAGTCTCAGCCTGGAACCAGCCAGGTAGCCAGAGACTGAGCACAGGGTGGGTCTGGCCCCTGCCCAAAGTGCGGGGGTGGGGGCGGGGGTGGATGTCAACCTATCATATCTCCCCTCAACTCTTGGTTCAGTCTCAAGGAAGCTCTTAGGGAACGCTGTAGAAGAAGTCAAAAACCGGGTGTGCAGAAAGCCTGGGGAAGGGGCCAAGGAGCCTTCTCCTTTACCCACCCCAATCTCCATAAATATTTCAGGAGGCCATCTCCTGGGACTCAGAAGAGCAGGGATATTGATTTGGGACTCCATCCTCTCCGCCACAAGCAGGCTCCTGGAATCTCTAACCCCGCCACCGACGCCAGCCCTCCCCCAACACACACAACTCCTACTGTCCTCAACTTTGCCCCCTCCTGCCCTGGGGTGCACAAAGGACTCATCTCCACTGGTGCTAAGAACTGCAGGTTAACAACTTGGATGTGGGCATGCAAGCAGCAGTGAGGGACTCTCGGGGTCACGGCCACAGGCTGGCTGCCAACCCTAAAGGGCCTCCTCATGTTTCAGGCCTCCCTACCCATATAACGATGCCCAGCTCAGGGATTTTGCCCTGGGTGCTAGCCCTCAGGAAGCAGCAAGGTCATCCTCCACCAACCCCAATTTAGGCCGCACCATCTCCCGGAAGCCAACCCAGAAGGGCCCTAGCCAGCGCCCAGACCCGCAACACAGGCCTGACTCACATTTCCCTCTCCTGCACGCCTACTAGGTCTGCATGTCTACAGAACGCCGCTGCTTTCCAGACACCCGGGCCCTGGCAGAGCCTGTATCTCACGCCTGGGGTCCCAGCCTGCGGCACTCACGCTCTGGTCGTCGTCCTCGCTCCGCATGTGGTCTGCGATGAAGCGCACGCCGTCCACCGCCTCCCGGAGGCCACAGCCACACGGCTCCCCTGAGCGCCCCGGGCCCGCCACCGGTGCAGGCTCAGCCCCGAAGGCCCCAGCCAAGCCCTGCACGGACGCGCGGTTGACGAAGCACGTGCAGGAGTCGGCCCCAGGGGCTTCGCGGAAGAGGAGGGCTCCGGCGCCCTCGCGCTCACGCTGACGTCGCCGCAAGCGCAGGCGCTGGCGGGCGCAATGGTGGCGTGGCTGCTGCATGAAGAGCAGCGCGGGCAGCTTCTCCAGGAAGACAACCTTCACCCAGGGCGCCATGGTGTGCGTGGTGGGCGAGCGATGGTGCACGTTGAGCACACACACGCTGGTGACGATGGAGAAGGTGACAAGCACCATGGTGAACATGAGGTACTTGCCGACGAGCGGCACGTCGAGGGAGGTGGGAGGCACGATCTTGGAGATGAGCAGCAGGAAGACCGTGAGCGCCAGCAGCACTGAGATGCACAACGTCATCTTCTCGCCGCAGTCGGATGGCAGGTAGAAGACAAGGATGGCTAGTGAGGTGATGAGCACACAGGGGATGATGAGGTTGATGGTGTAGAAGAGCGGCTTGCGGCGAATGATGAAGTCATACGTGATGTCCACGTACGTGGAGTCGTCGGGGTTCTCATTGCGCCGGCCCGGCAGCGCCACGATGTCCCACTCACCACTAGGTGTGAAGTCGTCCAGGCTGGCCACGTCACTCTTCAGCACCAGGTCGATCTCCGTGCGGTCGTAGGTCCACGAACGGAACTTCATGGTGCAGTTCTGCTGGTCAAATGGGAAGTGCTTTACTTCAATCTTGCATGCGCTCTTGTAGATGGCAGGCGGCAACCAGAAGATGCTGCCGTCATAGGAGACCACGGCATTGGAATAGAAGGAGACCTCGTACATGCCGTCAGCACTGCCAAGGGATGGGCACAGTCAGCCCTGGCCTAAGCGTTCCTTCCTCCCTACCCATCAACCCAGCCCCTAGTTGGAGGAGAGCAAAACCAGAGGGAGACATGGAGAAGGGACACCTAGGTCTGAGAGTAACCTCCAGGAGTATAGAGAGGTGGAGCAGGAATTGAGCAAGAAGGGGATATGGGGAGTGGTGGTTAGTAACTAGAAGAAGTGTCCTGGTCAGAAGGCCTGTGTGACACCTCGCAGGTAGAAGGGGGTGGTGGGTGGATGGAGGGGACATGTCTGCTACTTGTCACATATTGTATAAGCTGGTTGATCTTCATGAGGGGGGAGAAGTTGGGGGAGCCAGGAGGCCAGTGTGAGGACCCCCAGGCAATGGAAGGGGACAGGGCATGGTCCCATCAGTTGAGGAAGGTGGCTTTGCACCTTAGAGATGAGATGGATTATTGCAGGAGACAGGATAGAACCTGGAGGAGAAACTGGGACATTAAAGTTCTTTGATCCTTCCCAGGCTTCCAGGAAAGCCTGTTACTGAATCAGTTGAGGCACTGGGGGCTGTCAATACTTGTTTGTGTCCCTACCACATCATCAAATACATACTGGGAGTCCTAACTGGCTGGGAGTGGGCTGGTCACTGCCCAGGTCACCTTGGCTGTCCACACTGTACCTTACTGGTCTGGGTCTGTCTGTCTAGGTAGTGACTGTATATCTATTACAAGTCCCTCCCCTCCCACAGCATAAGTTAATTTATCTTATTTTCCCCATAACCCCTTCCCTTCCTGAGCCCTCCAATCGTCTCCCCCAACCTTCCCATTGCTCCTACTTGTTGTACAGGACCACATCTGGGAGCCAGATGTGTTTGGAAGGGAGCCGAACTTTCTTCATATTGTCAAACTCTTCAGGTTTCCAGGTGAGGCGATAATCTTCCCACTCCTGGGAAATGAGAGAGGGAGGCAGTACCAACTTCTGCCCTGGGAGGGGCTCAAGGTTAAGGAAATGAACTAGAGGGGGCCCATATGGCTTGAGGGAGCTTTTAAAAGCCAGCCTCTTCCCCACAGTGACTTCTCTGCCCATCAAGTGTAGCTCATGCGGTACTTTCTCATTTAATTTGCACAGCTAGGCCAAAGTACAGTATTAGAATCTACGTTTACAAATGAGAAAATGAATCTTGGAGAGTTTAATATGTTTAAAGTCACAAAGCTGGTGAGTGCCATGATTCAAATCCAATTATTTAGGACTCCAAACTCTATACCTTTCTGCCTCTTTTGAGAGATTAAGAAAGAAAAAAGCACATGGGGGAAAAGGAGGAGACAGAAGGCCAGGGGTGTGGGTAGAAGAGAGCACTTATGCTTACCTGGGTCAGCCAGACATTGGTGGTCATGATCTGCTCCCGCTCATGCTGCAGGGAGGAAGAGAGGCTGCCGAGAAGGCCCCTCAGCCTGTGGGCTCACTGCCACCACCCAGGGTCCCTCTCACACCTCCCCAAGCCTTGGAAACACCAGAGGAGGAAGCACACCAGCATTAACACATTTTGGCGGGGCTGACTTCAGTAGCTGGGCAGAGAGTCTGGGACCCCCACTCACCACACTGATGAGCTGGGCCAGTGATACCATGAGCTGTACTGTGACCAGCTCAGAGCCATTGGTGGCTGGGCGGATAAGCTTGTTGTAGCGGGAAGGATCCAGGAGATGCTCCACCAGCCGCTCCTCTGTGTCTGTACCCCACACCCCTGGGCAGGGGAAAGGCAGGAAGAAAGTAAGCAGGCAAGGAGAACCCATCCAACATCCCACCCTCCCCGGGCAAATGGAACAATCCAGGCCCAACCAGTATCTGCCTGCGTCCCTAAGGATACTGCAAAATGCTTAGATTACCCCCAGGGAAGCCCCAGATTAACGTCTTCGTAGAAAAGCCCCTCTCTGAGACCACTGACCAAGGAGTCCAGACAGCCCAACAGAGATGCCTTGAGACTAAGAACCCACTCTGCAAAGATCCGTGGAGACCAGCTCTTCCCCCAGAGTCTCAGAGGGCAGTTTGAGATTTCTGCTTCCATGGTTTCCCCAGCAAATACCTATGAGTCAAGGGAGGTTTTGCAGGGCGGTGAAAGGGAACAGTAATTTGTCCCAGTTATTTGTGTCCCACAACACACGCCCTTTCTCCTGCTGATTGAGAAGGAGAAAGCATATGTGTGGTGGGACACAAATAACTGTTCCCATTCACCATTTACATGTGCAAATGGCATTATGTGCCTCACATAATGACACGTGACTGTGGTCACGACGCCATCCTCCCCTCTCCCTAAAGGCACTGAGTTGGAGTGGAATAGCTGGGCTGCCTAAGCTGTGGGTCAGGCATATATCTAGCCCCAAGTTTCACACACACAGCAGCCCACCCCCAGAGGTGGCCTGTAGGTGTGGAAAGCTCATTCGGTTGTGCATTCCTTTCGTGCCTGCCCTCCCCACAGTGCACCCCCCTCTGCAACTCTGCACGAACACACCCCTTCCCATCCCCTCAGAGTTCCTTCCTAGTCCTCAGCCTGGCAGAGCTTCTTCCCTTCCAAGTCTCCTGTCCCACCCTACAAGAGGGTTGAAAAGTCCGTTCCTTTCTCTCCCCTTCTCTGCCCCTGTGGGGTGACGAGAATCTGGAGCCCAATGTGGGGGATGGGAACCGATGGGGAGCCCAGGGAGGGGTGCTGGACCAGGTACCTTTCTTGAGATAATGATTCACAGAAAGTCAGATGGCATCTTAGCGCCCTCAGAGCCGGCCCTCCTGCCACCCCAGAACACCTGGGGAGATCCCCTGCCTCCTTGCTCTCTGTGCCTGCACCACCCCTACCACCGCTGGCCAGGTTTCCATCTCTTTTTTGCTTCACTTACTCCTTCGAGTATTGTCTCCTTCCCAGTGCAGCCTCCCAGGTGCTCTCTGCAGTCCCGGGGGCTCTCCCCTAACCCCCAGCAGACTCTCCCACCTCTAGGGAATCCCTTCTTCCACCTTCCGGCCTAGCAGGGGTGAGTCAGAGCACGCCGAGTCTTGGGCCGCTGGCTGGGGTAGGAGAACCTGGCCAGTGCCCGTCTTTCCCTTACCTGAGCACAGCCGGAGGAGGCCGAAGCCAAGGAGCAGCGCCACGGGGCCGCAGCGCCGGGCCATGCCGCGGGCATAGCTCGCTACCTCGCCTACACCGGCTGGAGCGCGCCGCCGGAGGGAGGGCCGCGGGCGGGGCGCTGTCCGTGGTGCTGAAGCCGCGCCCGCCTGGAGCTGGGCCCAGGTGGTGCCGGGCGCCGCGGTGGTTCCTGAGGCTCAGGGAGCCGGCTGCGAGGAGAAACCAGCTTCTCGCCTATCCCGGTCTGAGCAGGCGGAGGCTTTTCCGGCTGCTCTTCCAGGGAATACAATTGGGACGGTGAGGGGGAGGAGTCTGCGCCCCGGAGGCGGAAACGCTGGTTCCCAGAAAAAAAAAGGGGGGTCCCTGGGTGGGATAGTCTTCGATTGGTTCTGCCCGGGTAGGGTGTGGGTGAGGTAGAAGAAGGGCTGTCCCTCCACGGCACGGTGGAGGAGTTCTGAAGTCCTAAAGTTGGGGCAGGACCTGGAGCGTGGTCGGAGAAAGGACGCGAGACCCGCCGGGAAGCAGCAGCAGGAGTAAGACGAGTGGGTCAGGGCCTGCTTAGTACTGAGGGCCAGAGGGCCAGAACGAGGGTCGGGAGACAGGAGGAGTTTTCAGCCTCCTTTTTTCTCTTACCAAACCCAAATGATCCTGCTCCCCAGGTAGGCTGAGGATACAGCAGAGAAAATGCGTTTAGGCCCTTAAAGAGATAGGGGGCTGTGGGTTTGCTATTTTTAAGAAAGCAAACGGCTTTGGAGTCTTGGAACAGCATCCCCTCACTTGTCCCCTTCTCTACTTCCCTGAAGTCCCTAAAAGGCTAAGCTTCCTGCCCACCCACTGAGGGTCTACCTGAGGAGGTCTAGACTTGCCTGCAAAGAAGGTAGCCTTGAGGGTAAGAGTGGAAAGATGAATAGCCCCTATTCATCGGCCTTCCTCACCCCCTTCTCTTGACTCTAGCTGTTGGCTTCTGTGTGACTAGGGAGATCAGAGACCACTCACAGAGGCCTGACCAAGAGAGAAGCTAGCACAAAGGAGACCAAGGATGAGAATCCTGAACTCTTAGCCCCTCTTTTTCCTTCAGTGGGTTTGTTGTCACTTTCAACCAAAATATTCCCAACGCAGACTTATCACACAGCAAGGCTCTGTCCTGTTCTGTCCCTGCTTACTTCAACCTCATCTGGGTCACTCCACCCGCAGCTCCACATTCCAACTATTGGCAAGGTCTTCAGGATCCTTGAACATTTTATCCGTGCCATCCCCCACACTTCAGGGACTTAAATGCATAGCTCTCTTTGGCTCTTTTATAACCCATGTTCCCCCTAATCACCTTCTACTTAACTTTGAGCATTTGGCAGGAATGTCAATTCCTCAAGGAAGCTGCGCTTGACCAAGGACTAGATCAGATACCTTGTTATATGTTTCCAGAGCATGTCCAATGAATAAATGAATCCACCTGAGGCAGTGGCTGCCTCTCTAGATTATGAATCAGCACAGTCCCTAAGGGCTCAACAGGTAAGGAAAAGGGCTAGTACTGGACTGACACTTTTTAATGTGTAGGGAAAATTCCTTTCTAAAAGCTCAGCTAGGGGCCAGGAGAGGTGACTCAAGCCCATAATCTCAGCACTTTCTAAGGCTGAGGCAGAAGGATCACTTGAGCACAGGCATTTGAAACCAGCCTGGGCAACATAATGGGATCATGTGTGTACAAAAAGTTTAAAAATTAGTCGGGCACGATGGTGTGTGCCTATAGTCCCAGCTACTCGAGAAGCTGAGGTAGGAAGATCACTTAAGCCAGGGAGGTCGGGGCTGCAGGTTGGGGTGTGATGGCGCCACTGCACTCCAGCCTCAGCAATGAAGCAAGACCCCATTTCAAAAACTAAACAAACAAATAAATAAAAGCTCAGCTAAAAACAATGTATTTACCATGTCCCCAGGTCGTGGAATTAAGGGAAGAAGCAGGAAAGTTCTAGAAGAGGACTGAAGGAGGAGGACTACAGACCCGATGATGCACATGGAAATGGGCATAAATCTGCACCACTTGCTCTGGGACATGCGCATGTGTAAACGCACAATAATCTCTTAAGAATTAAAGAAATCTTGGAACAAAGAAAAGGACTGAAGAAAAACCTTAAGGAAAAGGGAAAGAATGTGTGTGTAGTCTCTCTACTTAAGGAAAAGTTAGAGGGTGGGAAGAAGATCTTCCTTCAACAATTTAGATCAACATTTGTTAGGTATATGTGGTTTGCCAGGAAACCACATGTGTGTTGTGAACCATATGTGTTGAGGATGCAGTGATCAAAAAGACTTAGTCCCAGCTATTAAGGAGATCACAGTTTGGCAGCAAATTATTATAGAATGTGGTGGCTGTTCTAACAGACATATAAAGAAAGTGCTATGGAAGCACAGACGAAGAAGAGGTTAATAGTGTCTAAGAACCTAGAAGGGATGAAGATGAAAATTGAGATTTGAAAGGTGAGAAAGTCATTAAGACAAGGATGACTTAAAGGTATTCCAAACTCCTAAGAGATACAGGGAGTTTTGGTGAATGCAGAATGATTGAGGAAGGCTGTGAAAGTCTTCTCTTACAAAAATCTCTTTCTGTAATGGTTGCTTGTTTATGGGATGAGAAACTGGGGGGTTATTTGCTTGCTTAAAGCCTCTGGCTTTTCCTGATGCAACTTCCAGGCCAGTCTACCTTCTCTTCTCAAATCCCCCAGCTTTTGCTTCAAGTTTACTTCCAGCCTGGCAAGGAGTGAGTCTTCTGAGCACAACCACTCCGTGTCTAAGCAGGGCTGAAACACCCTCCTTCCTCATCTCTCCCACACATACTCGTTCCATACCCACCAAGAAGAAAGGCAGCCAGGAAGAGTGGACAGGTCCAGAACCACAGAGGGTGATGAACAGACGTAGAAGTATCAATCCTGAGGCTAAATAGTAATTGGGCAAAGTTTTGGTGAGACACTCCCATTGTCTCTGATGATAAGGAATGTTTTCTCTTGAAAGGCTTAAAATTGGTGGAAAGCGGTGGCTCACGCCTGTAATCCCAGCACTTTGGGAGGCCGAGGCAGGTGGATGGACTGAGCTCAAGAGTTCAAGATCAGCATGGGCAACATGGTGAAACCCTGTTTCTACAAAAAAATTAAAACAATTAGCCAGGTGTGGTGGCATGTGCCTGTAGTCCCAGCCACTTGGGAGGCTGAGGAGGGAGGATATTGTGAGCCCTGGAGGTGGAGGTGATTGCAGTGAGCCGAGATTGTGTCCCTGAATCCAGCCTGGGCAACAGAGCCAGACCCTGTCTCAAAAAAAAAAAGGCGGAAAAAAAAGGCTTAAAATCAATGTTATTGTCCTTTATTTAAGGTGTTTTAGACTGAGTGTGGTAGCTCACGCCTGTAATCTTGGCACTTAGGGGGCCGAGGCGGATCACCTGAGATCAAAAATTCAAGACCAGCCTGGCCAACATTGTGAAACCTCTACTGAAAAATACAAAAATTAGCCTGGTGTGGTGGCACACGCCTGTAATCCCAGATACTCGGGATGCTGAGGCAGGAAGAAATGCTTGAACCCGGGAGGCAAAGGTTGCAGTGAGCCAAGACTGCACCACTGCACTCCCAGCCTGGGCAACAGAATGAAACTCTGTCTCAAAAAAAAAAAAAGATGTTTTAAATTTTAAAATTTTTATTACAAAAGTAATACATGTATTCATGAATACCAATTGGAAAACAAGTTAGCAAAACATAGTAAGTACAAAATGGATTCATACTCCTACCTCCCAGGAAAAAAATCAGTGTTAGCAATATTTCACACACACACACCCCCCTCCAAATTTATCTATATGTACTTAGATATAACATTCATACAGCAAAGTATATACAAGTGTATAGCTAATTTTTCACAACATAAACACAGCCATATAGCCACCATTTAGATTTTTTTTTTTAAGAAACACACATAACTAATATCCAGAAGTCCCCATGATGACCCTTCCAGTAGTTATTCTCTCTTCTTCAAAAGTAACACCTTGGGGCCGGCGCGGTGGCTCACACCTGTAATCTCAGCACTTTGCGAGGCCGAGGCCAGTGGATCACAAGGTCAGGAGATCGAGACCATAACACAGTGAAACCCCGTCTCTACTAAAAATACAAAAAAATTAGCTGGGCGTGGTGGCGGGCGCCTGTAGTCCCAGCTACTCAGGAGGCT